ATCCGATCGTGTGCTTGATGGCTTTCGAAGTTTTTTGACTCCTAGAGTTGTGGAAGCTTTAATTTGCACTCAAAATTGAATGAGAGTGGTTACCATACCGATTAATGTTGAAGAGTGCATCGAGAATACGGAAAGGTTTGAGTGGGGTAAGTCATGAATATATCTTTTATCTTGTTATTCTTTTGTATATCTAACAAGTGAATGCTTTATTTAATATTTTGTTTTTGTTAGATATGGACAATGTTCACTCGAAGCTTACCGGTAAATAGAATTTGCAAGTTGAAGTGGAAGAAATATATGTGGTGAGTTTTTCCATTAATTATTTGAGTTCGATTGCTAATAATTCTAATTTAAAACTAATGTTCAGTGATGATATATAATATATTGCAGGACTATCAATGAGTTTAGCCGTGGTTTTTAGGCACTTGGCTTTGATCATATTTTGCTTACTTGATCAAAGAATCTGTTCTTCCAGGGGTACACAATTGTGAGTGATTCAGTGAGATACGTGGAATTTGGCAGTTTAATGTTGAACGTCTTTCTCTTGCTCTTATTGTAGAATTTGATTTCGTTTTTGACTCCTCGGAGAGTTTGTTCTAGATTAGTTATGACCATGTTTTCTTTATTGTCTGTACCGGTGATATGGTGATTGGGCTGATGCTTTTTGGGTGATTGTAGTATGTAATGTTGGGCATGAAGAGGTGGCTTTTGTCATAGATATGGAACTTAGCTCAGGGTCTCGTTTTCTGAAGGGAGAGAAGATCTCGAGCAAGCCACTGAATTTTAGAGGTACAAAATTATACTTGCAAAGTTCGGAGTCATGTCCACCTACACACACGCACACGCACACGCACACGCACACGCACGCATGCACGCACAACACGCACACACGCACACGCAACATGCACACACAACACGCACGCGCACGCGCGCACGCGCCCACACACACTGGAGGTAGAAAAGGTGGGTTGGTTTGGTTGATTCCCTTTGTGCTGTCATAAAGCAAGAACAAGATGAAGGTAAGATTCTCGATTCTCGTTATCCCTATGCTCATCAACAGCATAAGAATATATCGAAGTCCTGCGAAACTAGTAGCAACACTCGTTTATTCTGTCTTTCTCTTGCAAATCTAAGGTAGCTACTTGAACGAATTGAATCTAATCGTCTTTGCACTTGGCCAGCTTTTATACGTGATGCTTTTGAACTTTGGTCCTGCCTCAAGATTATCCAGCTCCATTGGAGGATAATTATGAGGGGGGAGGGGACGTATGTGTTTAATTGAGCTTCCTCTAGTTTTCTTCAAAATCTCCGGTAATGACTCCCTCTTCTCCAAATTTAGGATGTGGCGTCTCTGTAATGACTTCCCTTTTCTTCAATTATGTAGTCATGTCTTCCCTCTATTTCAAAGTATAGATATATCATCTATGAACATTGAGCAGCATATGCAGGTCCATCGTCTCTTCTGTTTTTTTCTTGCAAAACTGAACATTGATTTTCAGTTCATTCCAATAAGTATTGGTTCCATTGGAACCGGACCGGATCGGACCACCGAGAATCGGTTCCCAATTCCTAGTTTCAGGGACCGGACCGGGAACCGATCACTCTTAATAATCATACAAAATTAAAACCATTTTTGGAACACATTATTTTTATCCTTTGAGGTGTCGAACATGGAGTGTACGCTCAAAACATTTGGACATGGCATCTAGTGGATACATATGAAGCATGGGAAACAATCAGCATGCTCTGATACGTATTTCAGGTTTCACGGAATCATAACTCAAGTCCCAAGAATCCAGACTGCTCCACGTAATGTTGGTTCTCTCAGTGCCAATTGGAAGTGAGATCATAAATTGGACTAATGCCGGTACATTATCAATGGCAAAAGGACACTATAAGTGCCATAACTTGTGTACGGAGATCACTTTGGTGCCATAACTTTTTTTCGGATTACTTTGGTGCCAAGTCGGAGGAAAAACGATCACTTAAGTGTCATAAGTGTTTTTTGGATCACTTCAGTGCTAAAATTTTTGAAAAACGATCACTTAAAGTGCTAAAATTTTTTAAAAATGATCATTTAAGTGCTAAAATTTTTGAAAACGATCACTTAAGTGCCAATCTCCGGCGAGCCACGTCGCCTCAGAAATTAATAAAAAAAATGCCACATCGGATTTCCGGCGAAAAATTGTGTACGGCAGACCGGAGTTGGCACTTAAGTGATCGTTTTTCAAAAATTTTAGCACCTAAGTGATCGTTTTCAAAAATTTTAGCACTAAAGTGATCCAAAAAAAACTTATGGCACCAAAGTGAGCGCCGTACACAAGTTATGGCACTTGTAGTGTTCTTTTGCCCATTATCAACATATATTCCCTCGATCCAATTGAATGCTTGCTTGGATTTTCTCTATGGGGGAAATTTGGTGTTGCTTTTGGTTTAGGAAAATGACACTAATAGTTCCTAAACTTTTGCCGAACGTGTAATATCATCCTTAGACTTTTAATTCATTTAATATGATCCTTAAATTATTCCTAAATATTCAATGTAGTCCTTAAATTATTGCAAAATGTACAATTTAGTCCCTAAACTTTCAATTTGTTCAATTTAATCCCTCAACTTTCCATACAAAGTCAAATTAGTCCTTCCGTACTCGTCGCAAGTTTTCATAATTACACTATTGTCCAAATTTGCAATTTTTTTTTATTTCAATCCACTTCCTACATAAAAAAAATGCTACCTTTTCAATACCTTTTTACCTTTTTGGTCTTTATAAATATTATGATAGTTCCATTTACATATATTTTAGCTTAGGATCTTTATAATAATAAAAGTGAAACCCCTTTTAGAGTTGTGTTAGGTTGATATACCTGTTATTTGATATCAATAGATATTCTTACTTATATTAATCAAAATCTTGTTCCTAATTTTTCAAATCGACAAAACTTTCATATATTTGTATTTCGTGTTTTTTTAATTAAGTTTTCTAGCTTTTCTTAATTCAGAAAACACGAAACCTGAAAAAGCTGAAAATTTTAATCTTTTCAAAATTTTTAGAGCAAGATTTAGATTAATAGAAGTACAAGTATTTATAGATAAATTATCATCGTTTCAGATATTCTTATAAAAATACTTACACTTAAAATAGCAAGAACATCAATTTGACACAACTCTAAATTTAGTTTTAAATCATAGGCTAAGATATACTTAAATGGAACTATCATATTTATAAAGACTACAAAAGTGAAAAGGTAATAGAAAGGTAGTGTATTTTTTTGTTTATGTAGGAAATGGATTAAGATGAAAAGATTTTCTAAACCTTGATAATAGTGTAATCATGAAAACTTATGAATAGTATCGAAGGACGGATTTAACTTTGTATAGAAAGTTGAGGGACTAGATTGAATAAGTTGAAAGTTTAGAGATTACATGGAACATTTAGGAATAGTGCAAGAACTAAATTGAACAAATTAAAAGTTCAAGGATGACATTACAAATTGAACAAAAATTTAAGGATTATTAATGTCATTTTCCCTTTCGGTTTCTCACCATCACCCTGAGCACACCCACACCCCTTTTCACTGTGACTTCCATGCCCTCAAATGTGACTTGCACTGTCAATTCTTTTAGTAAAGAGAAGTTTCTATCTCAAATGTTCCTCCAAAGGAGCTTTTGAGGTTTGTGGATTGGGCTTCACTCAAGCTCATTAAGGGTGGCCAAGTCCAAAACCCCACACTTCGCATGTAGGTTATAATTTTTGTAAAATCCTGTTTGAGTTTTCACGAGACGGTGGTAAAATATGCACTTTTTTAATTGGTTAATTTTAACTTTTAATTGTAACTCCGGTAGATAATGAAATGTCTGTTAATGTTTATTTAAAGATAAAATATTTCCATTTAATTAATCTGGATTTTAATTTAACTTTTTCTTAAATTACGATAGTTTCGTTTTTTTTTTTTCATGTTTGGGTATTCTATTTTGTCCTTTTTTTGTTAAGTATGTGTGCTGTTGTCACTTATTATATTTTATGCTTACACCTTAACTAAATGTCAAAAGAGAATACATCTCACTCAATCCTCCAAATTACTTTTCCTTATAGATATATTGAAGAACTGGACATATTTTTGATGTTATGACGGATCTATTTAAAAATGCAATTGCTATTTTAATTGCGGGAGTATAATGGCCTAATTATCATGCGAATTCAAGAAATGAATTAAGCATTGCAAAGACCTAGAAATATGCATTTCTATGTATTAAATTGGATATTAGGACAACTTAGGGGTTTAGAACTCACAGAGCAATTTGATGGAGTTTCGGACCCGCAAAATGCCGAAAAACCAAGAGATGAACCACCAAAATGTTAAAGCCACTTCAAATCATCAGATGAGACAGAATCACAAATTAGAATGGCTTACTTATGGTGATTAGTTCCAGGGTGAGTAGGTTCCAGACGTGAAAAGACTTGAAACTTGGAACCTACCCTGTCAGGGTCAATTCCTAGCTATTGAAACTGAGATGCGACCCCATTGACCCGGAACCACTCACCCGCCAAATTCATTTCGCATAAAAATGAGACCATCACAATGTAACTCTCCAAATGTCACGCCCCGAACCCTAGGGCGTGCAACATCCCTGCCGAGGTCGAATTTGGTGCGACGTCCCAGGACGCGTCGCCGACCCATCACACATACAGAGATCATTGCACATGCCGAAGCAATATAAACACCCGTACAAATAAAACACTAGACCAAGGATAGCACAACCAAAGAACAGCATTATACAATATATACTTGCATTAACCAGAGAAACATATACATTGCCATTGAACCGAGCATACAACAGCATTACATACAAGCTTTAACAACACGAGCATCCAAAAACCACCAACACAACAAAAGGGACAGGTGGTTGAGTTAACTTAGCTCCACTACAGGCCGACCTATCTTTCAAAAAGTGACCGGTCAGACCTACTCTACACAACCCCTAAATTAGTTCGGTGGCATCTAAGGGTCATCCTCCACCCGGCCTTCTCCTGAGTCCTCTAACTCATGCCCCGGAGGAATACACGGACCACGGTATGGAGGGATCGCCTGCAATGGATGCACAGCCTGCGGCTCCACCGGGGGCACCATGGGCGGCTCCTTAACCGGCTCCTTGGGGTCAACAACTCGCCATCTGGAGGAATTATCGCCAAAGGGTCCCACTCACTAACACCATCAAAGGGGATGTCAAAGCTTCTTAGCAGACCGGACTCCTCTAAACCATCTCGATAAGTCCAAGCTATGTACGAGTAAAGCTTCAGGTATAATCCGCCTTCGTCAACCCAAACAATGCTTAAGTACTTGATATAAGCCCGGTCGTCTCCTAAAGGGTACTCCACCTCCTGAGTATCCACATGTCTAGGGATCCCAAAACGAGGAGGCGAACTTCCTAGATTCATGACTGGGGGTCTGAAATGTTGGGTTTTAACAACCATGAGACGAATCTCAGCGAGTAAAACCCCCTAAACCTAAACTAGGCTAACATGCACCTCCTGACAGGCAAACAATTACACACAACCAATAGTGATTAACTATTAAGTGACCTAGGCTCTCGGCCCCAGATCGAGCACACAATTGATTCTGCAGGTTAGGCATTTCATAATAATACTCATGGCACATACGCGATCACACTTAGTCACACGTACGCCATACGCATGCTCATACCTATTAGTGCCTGCCTCACATACGAGTCACCAATACGCACAACTGCCAATGCATTCTTGCATACATATGCCACCAATATGCCATGCTCATGGTCTGGCTCAATAATGCACACTGGCACAGTACTCATTTCTCAATTAGAGCTTGACACACGTAAAACGCATCAGGTCTATCAATCAATACCAATACTTTCAGACCCGCGTAAAATGCATCAGGCCCAATGTCTCTAGCCCGCGTAAAACGCAACAGGCGCAACACCGATCTCCATAAACGAGCCAAAACCGGCGTAAAACGCATCAGGCTGGCCGTCTTCCGGTAGAACCAGGCATCGTCCCACGTAAAACGCATCAGGACGGGTTCAACACCCCGCGTAAAACGCATCAGGGCTTATTGTGATCACACGTGCACACAGCCAATTTTATCTAAACCCCGCGTAAAACGCATCAAAGCAATTAGGGTGATCACATGCTCATGCCAGGCACGCATACTCGCACAATTCTCGTTTCAAGCCAATGCTCAGCATGCGAAATGCGTGACCATGCAATCCCGCACTTGGGAAATGATGCAACGTACAATGAGCATCAAATTCCAATCATAGGCACATAGACAATTATGCCAATTCAACATGCATCTCAACATGCCTAATTCACATCATGACGTGCTCAAATGCCACCAATAACTTGATTAAATGCCCCGACAACTCAATCCAACATTCGGGCAACAACACAATACATAATGAGTACTCAATTCCAATCATGGGCACATAATCACATTATGCCAAGTCATGCTCAACGATGCCACGACGTGTTCCAATAATAATATGACATGCTCAACTTGGTCATAATGTGTCCAACTAACACAATAGCATGCCCTAATAACCAATTCAAATCAATCTTACATGGCACAATATTGGCATCCGATCACGTATACTTAGTCATGTGAAATTGTACCATTAATGACCCGCTAACCTCCTCATTACTCGGCCACTCTCAAAACGCGACATGGCATCACACAATTGAGCAAAATCAAGCATCAATCAGCCACTAATCGGCCAATCTAAGCACTCTCAACAATTACACAATTTAATCCCAATTTTGTCTAACTTAATCTAATTCCGTCCCACGGGGACAGCCATGAACCAGCACATTCCAAGCTTCTGATTCGCTTCTAAATCACCATATTAGGCCAACCAAATCACCACAATATCAGCTGTAATTAACTAGCCACTAATTAAGCCTAAACACACCATGATTAACCCCTAAAATCCACTTAATCCCATATAGAAATGCTTAGTGGCTTAATTAGGGTTTAGGGGTAATTACTCACCTAATCCTAGGCTCCAAGAGGTGGCTGAACCGGCGGGGAATCGGGTTGGACGGCCGGATCACGACGGCACAAACGGCGGCCTTCCGCGGCGGCGCTTGGACAGCGGCGGTGACCGGCGGCCCTTGGCGGTGACCGGCGGCCCTTGGCGGTCACGACAGCGGCAAGGTGCTGGTCGGTGGTGATGGTGGACAGGGGAGAGAGAGAGAAAGGCGGTCGAGTGAGGCGGCGACGGCTCACGCGGACAGCAGCGGCAATCGGCCTTGGCAAGAGGCGATCCGGCGAGCGACGGCGGTGGCTCCTTCCACGCGGCCGAGGGTTGGTCCGGCGGTCCTTACACCGAACGAGGGAGAGAGAGACGTGACGGAGAGAGAGAGAGAGAGAGAGAGAGAGAGAGAGAGAGAGAGAGAGAGAGAGAGAGAGAGAGAAAGAATGGACGGGCCGGACGGGCCGGATGATGGTGGTGCACGACGGTGAAGCGGGCGAACGGACGGCACGGCTTCGGCGAGCGGCGGCTCACGCGCGGCCGAGAGAGGGGGAGGGAAAATTGGCGGGAGGGAGAGAGGAGAGGGGCTGGCTGGTGGTGAGGTGAGAATGAGGGAGAGAGAGAGAATTATTGGCCTGAAAAGGTGGTTTGACCAACTTTTCCTTAATTTCAATATTGCCCCTCATTCACGTCCATAAACTCCTAAGCCAAAATATTCAAGGGCATTTTAGACCAAATTTTGCTGAATTATAGGGCTGATCTTATCCATAATTTAATCCCCAAAATATTTTCCAATAAATCCCCAAAAATTCGGAATACCAAAAATAGGCCTAGGGGCAAAATCGTCATTTTCCGATTTCGGGCCGAATTTTCATTTTTCGACCGTACTGACCCCAAATATAGTTGGCCACACTAAAATGACATCGTCCTCGCAAAATAGTCACACACGACCCCGAAATTCGATGCCCAAGTCCAGATCCAATTTCACGATCAAAATTGCTCAATTACAATTTTAGGGTCTTTCACTAACGGGCGGCTGCTTAGGGGTTACGCGTATCGATCTAGGGTTACTCGAGTCATGATGGTCTCGATTACCGAGAGAACGCGAGGAATTATCACTAGTTTCGGAGGTCGCGATAGGTCGGATTAAGTTCGGAATTTGTTCGCCACGCGTACTCTCGGTCATGCGAAATCACCCGCGATCCGATCGTACATCATTGGCCAAACTAAATCCGTCACCTTCCTAAGACCAGCCCACATTGACCTAAAATATTTCCTCGTCGTTTCTCGGAATCGGTGCCCGATTCGCGATCGGGTCCTTAGTCCACGTACCGTTTTCCTAGTTAGTCATTCCCTTCCGGTTAGTATCCCGAGAGCTCTCAATTCCGGGCGAGACTTACTAAAATTAAATGAGAATAATATCAATTTCATTGATCTCGGAAATGGGTCGAAATTCAGGATGTTACACCAAATCACCAAAACAACTGCCATAATCCAGGACTTGATATGCCTACATTAATACCTCGGTTTGGTTGTGCTTGCATAAGTTTTTGCACAAATTACTCAATATCAAAAGTTTAGGGAACTTTCCCTTCTTTAATCATGAACGTAAAGATGGCGATTGCTAAACACTGAATTGAAACACCAGTACTAGGATAAAGATATCTTTTTGTCACCAGTTACAAGGAGCATTCAAGTAAAATAAAATAAACAATAAAAAATTCAAAACAAATAACAAAAAGTATGAATTATAAGACTTCATTTCTTATTCGTCCATAAAAGATTATTCCAAATTATAATCACTAGAAAACAAAACAAAATAACAAGCATAGTAAATTACTTAACAATAGTATTAAATAAAAGTCATTAGTCCTTGAAATAAAACAAATTAGTGGAAAACTCACCATATATATTGATTCCACTTAAGTCTTCAATTCATAAACTCTATTTATTGATAACAATCTCCTCGGTAAGATAATCCATATATGAAAAAAAAAAGATTAAATAAGGCATTCACTCATTAGATATACAAAGGAATTGCAAGATAAAATTAAATATAATGACTTACTCAACTCAAATTTTTCCTCATTCTCAATGTACTCTTCAACATTAATTAATACGGGAACGTCTCTCAACCAATCTTCATTGTAAATCAAAGCTTGCACCACTTAAGAGTCAAAGAACTTTGAAAGCATCAAGCCCAAGACCCAATGTACTAAAAGCTCACTCTAAGGCAACGGTAGTATCGAAATAGCCAAAACATCCTGATTCATCAAAGATGAGATTTTATACTATAAGCCGGTACTCTTCCATCACATCAAAAGGTCAAGATCAAAAACATCTTCACAATCAGCTTAAAGATAATGATAAAGCTGAAATTTGTTCTTATCAAACACTCTTTTCTCCTTGTTGATAAAGTTTTTCAACCGGCTTCTAAAATTGAAATCAACTTCGTTGTTACCACCATCACTATTGTCATTGCATCCACTAGGTACACTATCACTAGAACTCACATTTTGATCACCCAAATTTTGGTCGCTAGAATCAAGAGAAGATTGCTCATAAAATATGTACAAACACTACAAGTTGTCCTTAACCTTATCATGCATCTCTTTAGCCATCACACTATCATCATAAATTAGTCAACAACAATACTTCACAAAATTCAACCTTTTTCTAGTATCCAACGCAACAGCTCTCATGGGAGAATCCCTCACATACCTAACCATATTTCAAATACGTGCAACAGAATTATGTACCTTGATAAAGTCATCTCTTACAATTAAGATTGATATATGAGCCATGCACCTCATACATAAAAATTGCCATTTAAGATTAATAACATTTTTGTTGAAAAATTTTCTTTCAAATGATTAATGGTAACATCATTTGAACTACGATTATCCCTGGTGATTGTGGTACTTTTTTTTGTACTTCCAACTCGTAGAGGCATTTCTCAACCATCTTTCAATCTCCCTGCCCTAGTGACTAGACATCACCACAAAGTTGATGTTCTTTTGTGCAACTTCACCTGTGCAAGGACCATGTTCCTCATCTTGAAGAGTATGCTTCTCAAAATGCTTTTACATCACCTTCTCAGGATCCTATCTCGAGCACCCAATGCTTCATTTACGTGATATTTACGTATCAAACCTTGTAATGAGACCTTTCTAATGAGCTCAATATTGACGAACTGAATTGAAAAATCAAGGATTTAAGATTTTGGCTTAACCAGGGCAATACACTCAGGTCTATGAAATGAATATCGTATTAACTATCTGAAGCCATAAAAGATTCATTATTTGTCATAATTAAGAGATATGAAAATTTTCATGCAATTTCAAGAAATCTAAGTACAATTACGGGCATCGAGACCATATAAAATCTTAGAGAATGGAGTCATTTGGATGTTGGACAATGAAGAAATCGTTGGTCAAATGTTATGGAAAATGTTAAATAAGTGCCTTTTTTTTTTTGGTCAGAAAATAAGTGCCCTTTGAACGCTTGTTTATTGGATCTCATTAAATATGTTTTGGAAATTTCAAATTCACTATTTGACGTAAGTGATTTTTTTATAAAAAAAAAATGTGATTATTTCATTTTAAAAGTGCCATGAAATTTGTTATTTTCACTTGTAGTTAATTTAACTAGTGTCCTAGGGATATAACGCGTTTTCCCTTTCCTCTCTAGGATTCTCTCCTCTCCCTTCTATCCTCACACCGTTTTCTTCTTCAACTTCCATGGAGGGGAGGGTTCGAGCTAGATCTCCCTCCCTCCCTTTTTTCCTTTTTCTTTGGCTGATTTGGTTCTTTGTTCTCTTTTTCTTGCTTTCCTCTTTGAGGAGTTTTTCTCTTCTGATTTAGTCTAGATCTAGAAGTTTTTCTCTCTTGTTTTGGGGAGATTTCTATTCCGATCTAGTCTAGATATGAGGTCTTTTTGCGTTTATGATTTTGAGGTTTCGCATTTCTCGGGTTTCGTTGTTGTACAAGTCCAATTTCGAAGGATATTAGACAAGTTTCGTGAAGGTTTCCCTCTCACGGGTGTTAGATCTATGCATGTTCAACATTGTTACTCTGCACGGCGATGGTGTTAGAGATGCCGAACCTAGGCACGCACTGCCGAAAGGTAAAGCCGCAAAACCAAATGGAGATCTCTGTGTGTGCTCTTTACTAAAGACGAATTCGGTGATCGGCCGCCGATTTTGGTTTGAAGAAGTTCCAGATCTGCTCTTTTGAGCGTATGACCCATATCATTGCTCTAATGATTCATTTTCTTATATGGAACTTGTTGTGTTGTCTTGGTTTGCAGTTGGACTGCGTATTTCTATTGTATATTCATGGGAACGAATAAAATGTTTCTTAATAAAAACAAATAGTGTCCTAGGGACAATTATCAACGAGACCCTTAACAAATAGCCCGAGATATGATAAAAATTGCCATGTGAAGCACCCTAAGAAAACCCACACAAAGTTCAACCATCGACATTGTGGAACGTTCCATTTATTACAAAGCATCGTCTTATTATTGTGAGGAATACACCTAAATTAAAATGAAAACGGAGGAATACTTTGCTCGTGTCGGAAAAAGTTGCCCGGATCAACCGCAGTCTTCACATGCACCAACCTGTCGAAATTGTTCTTGAAGTACTTCTTTCCCCAAGCGCTTGCTTGCTTATAACTCGTGTCGCCTTTCACGTTGTTCGTTCCAATGTCGAGATCCCTGTAGTTGATATAGGCCTCTCGAGGCGATTTCGACACATACTGCGCCATATAACTATAGAAGCTTCGTATCCAACTCACGTGCTTTGAAGCAACCTCGTTGCCTCCATCGGTCCATGACGTTAAGTGCTGGATCTTGTACAAAACCCCAGCTCTGTGAGGGAAGGGAAGGGCAGATTCGGAGATCTCGCTCATTTTCCCGCCATAGTGGATCCAAATCATTTGAGCCACCCCGTCATCTTCCTCAAAGAACCTCTCCCACATCCCCTCTAAGCCACTATCTGGGATTGGCTCCTTCACGTAATCCGATTTGTCCTTAAAGTATAATTTGGTGTTGGAGCTCCTGTTGAGCAAGACTTCCAAGGGCCCATCGATCGGAAACCCCGCGAAGTAGAGGATCGACTCGATCCAGCTCATCTCGGTGCAGTCCTGTGTCGTGACGTTGAGCTCGGGGAAGCTGCTCTTCGTCACCTCGAGGAGCGCATCGACCCCACCGAGGTAAAGGGTGCTGAACAAGGCTTGCATCGTCCTCGTCCTGTTGGGACCGGAGTTGTGGCTCTGCAAGCTCACCAGCATGTTCCAGATCTGCTCTTTTGAGCGTATGACCCATATCATTGCTCTAATGATTCATTTTCTTATATGGAACTTGTTGTGTTGTCTTGGTTTGCAGTTGGACTGCGTATTTCTATTGTATATTCATGGGAACGAATAAAATGTTTCTTAATAAAAACAAATAGTGTCCTAGGGACAATTATCAACGAGACCCTTAACAAATAGCCCCAGATATGATAAAAATTGCCATGTGAAGCACCCTAAGAAAACCCACACAAAGTTCAACCAGCGACATTGTGGAACGTTCCATTTATTACAAAGCATCGTCTTATTATTGTGAGGAATACACCTAAATTAAAATGAAAACGGAGGAATACTTTGCTCGTGTCGGAAAAAGTTGCCCGGATCAACCGCGGTCTTCACATGCACCAACCTGTCGAAATTGTTCTTGAAGTACTTCTTTCCCCAAGCGCTTGCTTGCTTATAACTCGTGTCGCCTTTCACGTTGTTCGTTCCTATGTCGAGATCCCTGTAGTTGATATAGGCCTCTCGAGGCGATTTCGACACATACTGCGCCATATAACTATAGAAGCTTCGTATCCAACTCACGTGCTTTGAAGCAACCTCGTTGCCTCCATCGGTCCATGACGTTGAGTGCTGGATCTTGTACAAAACCCCAGCTCTGTGAGGGAAGGGAAGGGCAGATTCGGAGATCTCGCTCATTTTCCCGCCATAGTGGATCCAAAGCATTTGAGCCACCCCTTCATCTTCCTCAAAGAACCTCTCCCACATCCCCTCTAAGCCACTCTCTGGGATTGGCTCCTTCACGTAATCCGATTTGTCCTTAAAGTATAATTTGGTGTTGGAGCTCCTGTTGAGCAAGACTTCCAAGGGCCCATCGATCGGAAACCCCGCGAAGTAGAGGATCGACTCGATCCAGCTCATCTCGGTGCAGTCCTGTCTCGTGACGTTGAGCTCGGGGAAGCTGCTCTTCGTCACCTCGAGGAGCGCATCGACCCCACCGAGGTAAAGGGTGCTGAACAAGGCTTGCATCGTCCTCGTCCTGTTGGGACCGGAGTTGTGGCTCTGCAAGCTCACCAGCATGAATAGGTCGTCGGGGAGCTTGTTCCCGAGAAGTTGCCACTGGTGCACGAGCTTCGTCGCGTGTTGCTCCAAAGTCCTCTGGAGTGTGAACACGGTCACGGTTGACGGCACCGGGACCAGCTTGACTTTCCAGGACACTACCACGCCGAAGCTGCCGCCTCCTCCGCCTCGGATGGCCCAAAAGAGATCTTCCCCCATTGATTCTCTATCCAGGAGCCGACCTTGGGCGTCAACCAACTGCGCGTCGATTACATTATCGGCAGCAAGGCCATATTTGCGCAGCAACGTGCCGTAGCCTCCGCCGCTGAAGTGCCCGCCGACGCCGACCGTGGGGCAGACGCCGGCTGGGAAGCCTAGGGTTTTGCTCTTCTCAGCGATCCTATAGTAAAGCTCGCCCAACGTTGCGCCCGATTGGACCCACGCTGTTTCGTCCTCCGCATCCACGGCAACTGAACGAAGATTCACCATGTCAAGCATGATGAATGGGACTTCGGACAAATATGAAAGACCCTCGTAATCATGACCGCCGCTTCGGATCCTCATTTGGAGTCCATACCGCCGGGAGCAGATGATGGCGGCTTGGACATGGGAGACATGGAGCGGCGTCACGATGAGTAAAGGTTTCGGAGCGGAAGGAGTCAAGAAGCGCAGGTTCTGTATGGTAATGTCCAAGACAGAAGAATACGTAGAGTTGATTGGAGTATAAACAAGTGTAGAGATTGAGGTTGCGTTGTCAGAGTGAAGAGAGAGGCATTGCAGGAAATTCACAGGAGTGCTCATAGCAAAAGCTACAAAAGGAGCTGAAAAGAGCAGGAGACATGCCAAGTGACGATGCATGGTGAAGTTTTGCACCTTCATTTGTTATCTTGGTCTTTTCAGGTTGCATTACCAACTATCTGAAGGGTGCCTTATTTACAGTGCATGCGAGTGCACAAATGGCGAAGTCGATTTTTTATTTCACACTTCCCTTCCAATTGGGTGGACGAATTTGTCATAGATAACGACGTGCATGAAAGTTTACACGAAAGTGTACCGTTTGACTTTCTATCGTCTTCCAGATTAGCACGGCATTGATTCATGTGATCATGAATGGTGTAAGAAAATCTTAGCAATGACCTTTTTCCGGTCAATTAATCAGGTATTGTTCATTGTTTTTGCTTTGCTTTGTAGGTTCGGCATGCATATTCAATATGGGCTGCTATTCAACATCTTGTTCGATTAATACTTCCGAAAATTCAAACGCCTAGAAGATTTTGTATGCATTTGATCGCAATAACTAAATATTTTTGGCAAAGTACCCAAGGATTCACATTGAACCTTTTTCATTACGTGTCCGAGCATGATGCTTGGTTGCGTGGTCTGTCGTTTCTTTATTCTTCTTTTCTTGGCTTAAAATCAAATGATCCGTGTCAATTCTTGACTAACTACAAACATGTGATGAGAAGTATGACTTAGATGTACTCATCCTTGATTAGGATAAATATACTTATGGGGAAAATTAGTTGAATTTCTTTCCTACTTTGTTATGTGCATGAAAGTCGGCATGATAGTTACGGGTGTATTTATCTGCAACAGAGATATAAACCTAGGTTAGATAATGTCTTTGAAACTGAAGTTTTGTAAAAGAAAAGTCACATGATTCAATTATATTAGTCACCATCTATATCTAATTAAAATACATTTCGCTCTTCTTGGTAAAAGTTTGCATCCGCCTCGGAAAAAGAAAATCTTGCCAAGTTGTTTCTGTCATTAAATGAATATATTGTTCGATTGATTGCTTTGGTGAATCACGTTATCCGCGGACACGTATTAAGTGTGCATCCTTGCGTACAATGGGGACAAGTGCTAGAGCGAAACGAGATATCTTGAAAGTGTTAATCTTTAAAGTCAGATAATGACAAAATGTTTACAGTGGTTTGACTTTAATTAGGGTTGCGTGATATGTATTTATAGGACTAATTAATTATAGTCAGACTACATATAGAAATATCATTATAGACCCTATAAAACATATCAATTACATATTAATAATCCCCCCTCAATTCAAAGTATGAGTAATAACTTAGAGATTCGATCTCAATCGCGAACTAGGTAGTCCCTTGATGAAGATGTTCGCCAACTAATCCGCTATAAACACATAGCGAACATGTGGGTCGCCACAAGCAACTCGCTCTCGAGCAAAGTAAAAGTTCAACTCGATGTGTTTGGTGCGAGCATAAAACACAGACTTGAGAGCAAGGTAGGTGGCAGGTTGTCACAACATTAGTGAGAGGAACAAAAAGGGGACCCTTAGCTCACGAAGTAAATGGCGGATTCATGTAGTCTCAACAACACAGGGAGATATATAGCACAATACTCAGCCTCTAAAATAGACGGGCCACACTAGGTTCTTTCTTGGCATTCCATGAAACAAGATTATTGCTGAGAAAGACACAAAAACCTGAGGTGAACCGTCAAGTATTAGAGTACCTAGCCTAGTTTTCATCCGCATAAACAGTTAATGAAGTGGAGAACATCGCTCATAATAGGCAACCATGGGTGGATGCACCATCTACATACCTGTATTAGGGGTATTAATGGTTCAAGTCGGGTTTCCATGATACCCAAATCGAACCGAATCATATGAAAGTGTATGTGTTTTGACCTGACTCGAGACTTGACCATTGGTTCGGTTTTTAAGTTCATCGCACGAAACCCATTTTCGTTAACTCCTTTACTCTCTCCTCCCGTAATTTATCCATTCTTTAGAACCAAAGAATAAAAATTGAATCTTTTCAAACTGACCTCCTTCCTCTGTTTTTTCTTCACAAACGACGATAAGCCTCACAAATTGAGATGAGAAGTACAATTTGGATAGATTCCATCCTTGATTAGGATACAATATTCATATCTTATTGGTAGACAATACAAAAAAAAATGATAATTTTCATTAAATTTCCATCAATAAAGCGTCAAATTTATAAAATTAATAGAAACTTATTCTTTAATCTAGTTTAATTAAAGTTTCCAAATTTTGTATTACTAGTGGTACCTTTATCTCATAACAATTGATTTAGGTTGGGTGTAGAAAGTAATATTTTTTTAAAGATATTTTTATATAATAATCATAGTTCATGTTCTATACAAAGATGAACAGGCGCGGGCGAAGTAGGCGCACCCATGCCTGCCCATAAAATGAATTTTTCGACCCGTTGGGCGTACCTATGCAAAGTTTTCAAGCCCGGTCAATGGGTGGGCCGAGCTTAGGCAAGGAACCTGAGGCCGACCCTGTCCATATGCTTATGTAAAAAATAAACAATTATATTGTATTAATAATTCAACTTTGATGGTTAAAAAATTATCAACGGTAATATGATAACATAAGATTAATTATAATATAAAATAGGGAAATAGTATAAAACTCATAAGTTGAAGTAGCAAAATAATTATTTATTCATTTAGTTTATTCATATTTATTCATATTAAAAAGGCTCGATTCGCTTGGGCGGGCTTGGGCACTTGCCGAGACCCACAAGTTCAGGATTAGGCATTTGGGCCCAACGGCAGGTCTAATTTAAACTTTACATACAATATTCAGCAAAATTGTTAAAAAAATTATAAATTTATTGCATTTTTGCCAATTTAATCATAAACATTTCATCTTACTAATTTTTTTTTTGGTCAAGTTCATCTTACTAATTGAGTCATAAACATTTTCACGTTTTATCAATTGAGTCAATTCGGTCAATTTTAGCCAGAAATCGCTAACGTGGACGCCATTAGTCTTACGTGGCATGATCGGCGCTGACATGGATAATTTTTAATAATATTTTAAATATTTTATTTCGAATTTTTAATTTTTTTCTTCTTTTTTTTTCTTTTACTTTCTTTCTTTTTTTTTTCTTTTTCCAAGTCTGGTGAGGGTCGTGGACCTTTGCCTAGTGGCCGACGAGGGTCGGGCGGCCCTCACCTATGACCAG